TTAAAAAAAAAACTGTTCTTTTCTCTCTCTCTTACTCTGTTTCAATAGAGACAGGGTCTCGCTCTGTCACCCAAGTTGGAGTGCAGTGACATAATCACAGCTCACTGCAGCCTCAAACTCCTGGGTTCAAATGATCTTCCTGCCTCAGCCTCCCAAAGTGCTGAGATTACATGTGTGAGCCACTGTGCCTGGCTTCATTCTCTTCTAATCCATATTCTATTTGTCCTTTCTTGATCAGTCAGTCATGAACACAATTAACAGTCACTTTTAGCCCATAAAATTGAAAACAGTGGCTAAGTTAATCCTTAGCCTTCTTTCCTTAAAGCTTGAAATCTCTAATTTCTTTAATAATCTACATTTATTTAATCACAATCATTCTTTTCTGAATTTTCTCATCCCCTAACCTCCCATTTTTGGGCAAGTGCATGTTTTTATTTCTCTTTTGCTATTAAAATGGGACATAATTATCGAATAAAGGCAAAATACATGAAAATAAAGAGGATTACTCTCTAGCCTATGCATGTTGAATGTCTTTCAATATAATGGCATTTCTTTCTTTTTTTTGTCTTTTTTTCTTTTTTAAATATCAGGAGTCATTTTTGTGGTCAGCCATCACTACCAACGGGTTTCTGTCTAGCTAGTCATCCTTCCTTACTCTCCATCCAGTATTTGTTTCTGATATCACCATCATGGCATTCTAGTAACTTCAGATGAGATTACATGAATAATCTCTCCCAAGGCAATTTCTGTCAAACAGTCAAATTACATTGTTTCAGCAAACTCAACACCAAAGTGCTAACATTTTTCAAAATGTCATTTTCAAAGCATTCATCTGTTCAGTAAAAAATGACTGGGTGAGTTGTGGCTAACAGGGCTGCTAGACATCTAGTTCTCATATAAGGTGAATAATGTATTTTCATAATTCTGTTTATAGCACAGGCTGTGAGATTTTGAAACCCACGTTATCTAGTCATTGAGGCTATTTATCTGTCCTATTCTAAGTACTTCCATTAATAAAGCCATACTGCAATTTTAAATATTGTTTTCCTAAGCACAAGAAGGCATTCTCTGATGGCCTCCAAGAGAATGTATGTAAGCAAGTGCATATAACAAAAAAGTATGCTTTTGGATAGACTGGAATGACTCAGTTTTTCTTTTGTAGAAATACAGACGATAATATCAAGATCAGTGGACTACAGAAAGATTGCAACAGAAGGTTTTAATGAGATGGCAGGTAGTACTTATAGCACATGAGTTTTAACAAAATTAGCTAGCTTTTAATTTATTACGTCAACAGTTATAGCTAACGCATATATTTTCAAACACCCTTCATGTAGATTATTCTAATATATAAAAACCATAATAGAAATATTAAGTTTGCTAGGAAAAAGGAAAAGAATCTAGATATTTTCCTGATTAAAATAGGAATGACTAGTAAAAAAGAAACATGAATTTGTCATTACTGACTTTAAATATCAGACTAAAGGTCTAGATTTGTCTATAATTAGGTTTTGTAGTAAGTTCTCTTTCATGAAACCTCTTTTACTTAAAAGGAATTAGGTCAGATTTTTACAAAGGCAGTAAGAGTATTTGTGACAGATTTATTCAAATTCTCCATTGTTCAATTTAAAACGTGCCCTTTTCTTTCCTATAGCTAGTGCTGAATAATAAAAAGTGACCCTGGTTGCTGACTACCACTGGTAATAAGTCATTTCTGATGAGGCGCAAATGGAGATAACATTTCCTTATTTCCTTCCTTCCTTCCTTCCTTTCCTTCCCTCCCTCCCTCCCTCCCGCCCTACAGATACAAGTTGGAAACATAATTTATCAGGCACAAATCCTTGCTCCAGATTTTCAGACTGGTAGGAGAGATAAGATGTATGTATACTCAAGTAACTATTAACTTGTATCAGGAAGGAGAAAAAAAAAGACTATCATAATTCAGAGTAGGAATGTGAATAACTCTAGTTCTTAACCCAGTGCATTTTTAAGTTAAAATGCACCTTTCAGGAGTATCTAAGTAACATTCAAAAACACTCTACAATTGAAAGCAACAGAGGAACTTATAAAATCTGTGGCTGTTAAGATGGCCACATAAAACTCAACCTTTCCATTCTGGCTTTGACTTAATTTAGAATTCGGCTTTCCTTTCTGTTCAACAAAATTATTTTCAAAGACAGATTGGAAAAACATGGTCTTGACCTGGATCAATCACATCAATTTTTCTTCAAGATTTTAAAAATACATAATTTCCAAATGTATGTTTTCACCGGTTATAAATGTAAAACACAATCAATATATAAATCCAGACCAAAAAAGGAGATTAAAAAATTCACTCCTAGAGCCTCCACCCAGATAAAACTGTTAATTTTTATCATGTTAAATAGAAAACACATAAAATTTAGTGGATGTACTATCTTATGAATATTCTACACTGGATTCAAGGGAAAGAAATCTGTTCACTATGTATTCAAGACTATTTTCTTGTAAAATCTCACAGATGCTTATCTGACATATAGTATCACTAAAAAATCTAAATGTAATGCCATGAATAAGAAAAATAAGAGGCGTTGTAAATGAAGAGACTGTTGTACGACTCAAATGTTATACAACTTCTAAATTATGAAATTATACCAGAATAAAATTTTTTTAAAATTGTGGCCCAGAACACACGCCAAAATTGCTCAAACCCCCAAAGTAGGACGCCAGTGTATAAAACAGTGCACAATATTTTACTCTGTGTCTAATTATTACTCTGGACAACTGGGCTTTCCAGACAAAACAATGCATATATAGAAGAAGGGATTGCCAGCAGGATGGTGTGGAGGAGAAGTTTCCAAACCTTCTTTTTCTTTGTGCTTATTGTCTCAGTAATTTTTTTATGGTGCTCCAAGGCTAAAAGAAATAGCTAATAATTCCTTTAATTACATAGTTAGGGTCAAACAACTTAATAAATATATATTTCCTAAGAATTTACTAGCCATTTAAAAACTACCCATAAACTGAAAGAAATGTATTTTTCTTTCATTATTAAATAACAGCAACTACTTACTAACAGGACATATGCTGCTTTTTTTCTTTTTCACTCCTTTATTCTTTCTCCAGGACATGTGCTTCTGATGGGTACTGCATGGCTTCTCAAATCTTGGAATCAGATCCGGCACCCTTACCCCTATTTCCTGTTCCATACTAATTTTTTTTTTTAATCACAGCAACTGCCTAAAAGCTAACTTTGCAAAGATATCATGTCCCCCAAAAGAATGCAGCAAATCTGATGCTGAAAGTGAGAACTTCCTAGAACTAGAGGTTCAAGTAGTGTCTGACAGATGTTGCGTATCCCTGTGCTGCCCTGTGAGTTTGCTGTGGCACTCCAGAGCAGCTAGCTTGGTGCACAGTTGGTAATTATGGGTTTAGGACCATCTTATCCCATTGCTCTATTGTCACTGTAAAAGTGGTAGAACTCGCAAATACATGGCTGTATTGAAAGATTTGATGCCTCTGATGTGTAACAGCTGGTTCTTTTATTACAGAGTACAGAGATCCAAACTGATAACATGTAGAATTCCTTAATTATATGTAGGTAAAAGGAGCCTTCTTATGGACTCTCATGGAACATACATGCTACTGGGCAACAGGTCCCTACAGAGCCACTTTCCGACTCTTATTTACTTCTACTGATTCAGATGTTTAGCATAACAATTAATCCTACAATCTGCCTTTATAACAAATAATTCCATAATTAAAGACATACTGCAAAAGGTGACTGAATACTAATTGCAAATATAATTTAAAATATGCATCTTAAGCAACCTTTTGTTAGCGGAAAGGAAGCAGCAATAACAGAGTCCTATTGGTTTATATAATTACCTGTCACAGTAATTTTTAAAAGATCCTGTGGTAGGTAGAGTAATACTCTCCTTCCCTCAAACATTCTCATGACAATCTCTGGAATTTGTGAATATGTTACTTTACAAGGCAAAAGGGATTAAGGCTGAATGGAATTAAAGTTGCGAATCAGCTGATCTTAAAATTGAGAGATGACCCCAGGTTATGTGGGTAGGCCCAATGTAATCACAGGGATCCTTAAATGTGAAAGTTGAAGGGGAGGAGGAGGAGAAAGAGGGTAAAAGGGGAGAGCTTAGAGGGAGACAAAACTATGGAAGAAAGGCGCAGACAATGCAAAGTGAAAAGGACCTGATCCCCTGTTGCAGGCTTTGAAGACGGAGCACAGGATGTAAGCCAAGGAATGTAGGTAGCCTCTAGAAGCTGGAAAAGGCAAGGAAACAGATTCTTTCCCAGAGTCTGTTCATGTTCTGATTTTTGCCCAGTGAGGCCTGTGTTGAACTTCTAACAGAAGTTGTAGGACAGTTGTATGGAAACATAGGATAATATATTTGTGTTGTTTTAAGCAACCAAATTTGTATAACTTATTACAGTAGCAATAGAAAACAACAATTAAAAAAAAACAGCAACTACACATATTTCAGATCAATTAGCAGAGTAAGCTAGCTAAAATACACGTCCAACAGGTATTTCCAGTAAGTTTTGTTTTGTGTTAATGACATAAAACTAAATATAAAATAAACCTACAGGTGCTGGATTCAAAGAATTCTACTTTACACATCATAGCATAGCTTTTTGCCTTTGTTAATTTGTCTCATTGTCTAACAATGATGTCTTGACTCTAACCAAGATAAAAATCTTTGTATTACACAGTGATATGAATTTCAAATAAAGAACAAACAAATATAAACTTTTCCATATTGTCTGTTTAGGTTAAAAATTATACTTCTTTTCCATATGCAAAATACCAATTAAAATATTTTTAGTTATTTCTTGAACTCTTAGATGGAAAGATGGTTTGATAACTGGACAAGAAAAACTGTTTTGTATACTTAAAAATCACTTACAGAAGGCAAGAAAAAGCCTTACTGTCAGAGTATGTATATTTCTATAACCTAAAAATATTTATTCAAAGTTAAAAAATAGCCTGTGATCACCTGTAGTTAAAGGCAGGTGTGTGATGCTGTTCAAGCAGGTCAGGGTGAACCACGTGGATGATAGGGTAGCCCCAGAAAACAGAAGGAGAAGAATTAGTTTCAGCATACCTCTGATAAAATCTGCAAACCTGTAAAGAAAAAAATGTTCTTTTAATTCTGGATTTTTAGGTATAGTTTAAATCAATGACACTTTCATTAAACAATTACTTGAAGACTTTTCCACGCATTTTTAAAAGCTAGTTTTCTGTTTGTTTGGTTTTTCAACTGACAAATTTTCTTGTGTGTGTGATGTTACTCTGTGGTAAATTTTTTTCTCTCTCTTACAAAATACACAAAATGTCGTCTCTGTTCAGGATCTGTGACTGATAGGATGGATTCTGAGTTATTAAATGCCACTTTTATTTTTTTATTATACATTCCAAACATTCTATAATGAATGAGCACCTTCCAGTTTTATTCCAGTTTTATAATAGGCTAATTTGCTGACTTAAGACTAGCAAAGATGGCTCTCCTCAAATTCAAATGCAGAGAACAGATACAAATAAAATGACTATGCCAGTCTTTGAGGTACTATATAGTCTTGTGCCTGCCTTTGCTCTCCCTTTTCCTTATCATTTTCCAGTTGAATGGCTGTGCTTCTGTTTCTCATATGTGCAAGGTTGCTTCCCATGTCAATATGCAGTGTCTGTACTTGTCTTGTCTGTCTGGAATGCTGGTTCCCCCAGATCTTCACACAACCTACTCCTGTTTATTCCTGAGGCCACTCAGGCCTCAGTTCAACAAAGCGTTCCATGCTCACTGAAGAAGTCCTCCCACCCAATTCCCACATTCTGCTCTATTTCTTTATAGCTTTTTTCTCTATTGAAAGTTATCTCATTTTTGCATTTGTTTATTTTTTCTTTCCTACCAGACTTTAAGCTTCCTGAGAGCAAGAATACACCTCTAGAATAGTGAACATTAAGCTACAAAGCTTAGGACTTTTACAGCATTTTAAGTTCTCAAAATCCCTGCCTTTTCCTTAATTAACACAAAACTAAAAGGCACCTGGTAGAGATGCTTATCATTTAGTTATGCCAAAAAGTTTTCCCACTTGCCAATTGCTTTTCCTCACCTGCAGAATAGCCATTGTTTGTATAGGCACAGTCCTCTGGCTATGCCTACACACAATTTATTAATATTCTGCCCTTCAGAATTGCTCCTATTGTAGAAAAGTTGATCAAATCTCAAATAACATTTACTATGTTCTACTTTGAATCTTTAAAATTGATTTTAATTTCTACTGGAATGATGTGACTGTTCTTCTGAACCCTTTCAGCACTATCTCCTGTTTTGCACTTATTTGAAATGATATGGTTAATCATGTTTGTAAACATTTTCTAGACTAAGATGACATCCTATGAGAGCTGATGCCATCTTTTGGTGGGAAAAAATTGATGCACTTTTGCCCAGTGACTTAGGTTTGTCCCCATCTATAAAAGTTCACAAGCAAAAAATTCTTATGTATTCAGAAAAAGGTTTCCCAGTTTGATAGATATGTCCCTCAAAAAAATCCAAAATTTTGTTTTACCAAACACTTTTCTGGTTTAAATTTTGGTACACTGCATAAACTTATTTGTAAGATAGGCAGATGATGACAAGGTAGGAGAGAATAAAACAGCTTTCTGATCAAATCAGAGTTGAACTTCAAGAAAGTTTCATGGAGCCAGATCATACAAGAATAAACTGACTACTGTAGTCTACTACTTTCGGAGACCCAGTGCTTTCAAACAGGTTGATACCTCTAAAGAATATTATCAGGACCGAAGTAGTACTTTTAATAGTGGTCTTTAACAACATAATTACCAAAAAACACCCAAAGCAATCATGTCTATAGGGATATCCCATTCTATGGAATTCCAAAAGTGGCATCATGAAAATAATTCTATTTTTAAAATTTATTCTTATTTTTTAATTTTTTTAATTTTTAATTTTAAAGATATGGGGTATAATTCTGGGTTAGGTACAAATGTTCATTATGCAGGTACACTTGTTGATGAAGTGTGCCCCCCTCACTTGACAGTTTCCTACTACTGCCAGTCCCTCCCCCACCCCCGGAAAATAATTTTAGAATTGATTTTAGGGCCAGGTGTGGTGGCTCATGCCTGTAATCCCAACACTTTGAGAGGCCGAGGTGGGAAGATTGCTTGAGTTCAGGAGTTTAGAGACCAGCCTAGACAACATAGCAAGACATCATCTATACAAAAACTAAAAAAGTTAGCCAGGTGTGGTGGTGCATGCCTGCAGTCCCAGTTACCGGGAGGCTGAGGTGGAAGGATCATCTGAGCTCAGGAGGTTGACACTGTGGTAAGCTGTGACTGTGCCCTACTGCACTCCAGCCTGGGCAACAAAGTAAGAGCCTGACTCAACAAACAAATAAATAAATAAAGTTGGGTTTAGACCTAAGAAATAACTAAAATTGAACCCATAATAGAGGTAATTTTTTTAGAACTTCCATTTCAACAAATTAAAAGCAGAAATGTTCTTATTCTATTTTTTCCTATAGTTTCAGCTATATATAGTTAAAATTAAAGGATTTAGAAAGAAAGTAAAGAGAAAGGAGCGTGTGAGATATCATTTTTGATACTTAATGGTTTCTTCTTGGACCCATTCTGTATTCAGAATAGGATCTGATCAATAATGACTTATTAAAATTGGCTTGGAGATTTTTTTTTTTTGAGTTGGAGTCTCACTCTGTCACCCAGACTGGAGTGCAGTGGCCGCTCCCGGCCACCACAGCCTCGACCTGCTGGGCTCTGGCGATCCTTCCGCCTCAGCCTTCCAAGTAGCTGGAACTATAGGTGCGTGCTATCACGCCCGGCTGATTTTTTAATTTATTGTAGAGATGAGGTCTCACCAAGTTGCCCAGGCGGGTCTCGAACCCGCGGGATCAGGCAATCCACTCACCCTAGCCTCCCAAAGCGTGGGATTACAGGCTGAGCCACCAAGCCCGGCTGCTTGGAGATTTAATTAGAAAAATTAGGTATGATTCTTGTCAAAATGTGACAAGTTAACATATTTTAGAATCAGTGACTTTCTACAAATATTTTCCTATCCCTCTTATTTTGCTTTTAAATTTTAAAAATCCCTAACTTATAAAAACGTCAAATAAAGTGATTAGAAATTACAGTGTCCAGCCGGGCTCGGTGGCTCAGCCTGTAATCCCACGCTTTGGGAGGCTAGGGTGAGTGGATTGCCTGATCCCGCGGGTTCGAGACCCGCCTGGGCAACTTGGTGAGACCTCATCTCTACAATAAATCAAAAAATCAGCCGGGCGTGGTAGCACATTCCTGTAATTCCGGCGACTCAGAAGGCTGAGGCGGAAGGATCGCAGGAGCCCAGCAGGTCGAGGCTGCGGTGGCCGGGAGCGGCCACTGCACTCCAGTCTGGGCGACAGAGACTCCAACTCAAAAAATAAAAATAAAAAAGAAATTACAGTGTCAATTTATTCTTTCATTATCCTAGAAATATTATGCAAACTGTAAGGTCTAGATATAATATTACACTGTGTCAATTTTGTTGAAGAATTTAGGTATTGAGCTGACTTATATATCTTATTTGATCTCCCAAATATGTCATTAGATTCTCCTCTTCCTGGTAAAGTTGATTGCCTAATTTTGTTTTTGATTAAAAAGGGTAAAATGATTTGGGAAGTGAATGAATATTATCTCTTTGGAAAGACCGAGAGTAGTTTTATAGGCAATTACTTAAAAGAGTGACATTTTCATTCTTTTTCTTTTTCTAGAATAAATGAGACCTTTTTCCTTTTTCTGACTCATTCTAAAAATGTATTGTCATAACAGGTTAAGATCAAAAAGAGTTTGATGAAACTAAAAGTCTTTACTGTTTTAATCCAGATGAAATAACCATATGGATACAAATGCCAAAAGAAGATCAGAAATAAATATCAGCTAATTAGGATACTATCTTTTTCATGGAAAATTCTAAAGTTGCTCTCACAAATGATTCTTCTCAACTGTTTTTTAGTCTTCACAACTGTTTATTTACCTTTATTGTTATATCACCTTCTTTGGGTTTCACTTGTAGATGTCATTCTCTAATAATATTTAGAGAGACAGCATAAACAGTAGAAATACATTTCCAGTTTTCAAAAAACATTTTAGGAAGCACTACTCCAGAGGTTTCTTGTAGCAGCAACTTTTATCTAATGCATGTGAATTTTCTTGCAGTCTGAACAAGTGCTTTTTTCTGACTTTTGCCTGACTTTTCTTGGAATTTTAATGTTTATTTAGGGGAGCCTATTTTGCTTTAGGCATTCCCCCCATTTCTGTCCACTCACATGTTTAACAAAATATTCTCACCTTGCCATAGCTATTCCAACAACACAGCCTCCAACTATGGACCAAAATCCAATCCAGCCAGCATCCACCTGTTAAGAAAGTAGCAGACACATTTAATACAATAATATTGTAATTTAGAAGAAATGAAAAAAAAATCCTCTATAATCAATAATGCTAATGGCTAAATGGCAACAAATATAGGAAATACAACTTAGGAAAATAGGTAAAATGAAAAAGGCTTCATGTGTAATAAGTTTATACAAACTTATCTAAGAAAATATGCCCTTGATTAACTTTTTACTGCAATATTTAAATCAAAAATTAATGTCATAAAACAAATATGTTTCAAGTAGGTACCACACGCCTAACATTATATTAGGATATCTTAAGAAAAGAAAAAAGGATGGAAGATGGTCACTGACCTCAAAAAGTTTAAATATAACCACGTACAGGTAATAAATAGGCGTTAAAACATGGGGCAACGAAGAATGAACCAAGAGATGAGAGTGAGAGTGAGAGGATAGAGGAAGAGAAGCTGAGCTGGGTTTCAAGTGTGCATAACTTGCGCCTCTTTTGAGAAAACATTTCTAGTCCTGCCATTTACTAGCTGTGTGACCCCAGGAAAATTATGTCTTCTTACCTAAAAAATAGATTACATGAGATAATTTGCATATAGGACTTAACTCAGTGGCCAGCACACAGGAAGTGCTCAAAAAATGTTAGCTGTTATTATTATTATCATATGATGCTTCCCTGTCCATCTTGTCTCTTTCCTACCATCATGGCCATTCTTTTTCAGAGCAATCTACAAATGCTGCCTACATCTCCTCATCATTTGTGCATCTTTAACTTTTATTATGTCTTGGCTTCTGTTCCAGCTCATTCTCTCAGCGTCTGCATTAGCAGAATGGGAATAATAGTCTTTCGGAAGGGTAAGGTAATAAATGTAAAGTGTTCAATATATGCTAGCTGTTGTCATCACTTGAAATTCCATGTGTTCCTAACAATATTTGTGCATCTTGTCTCCTTTTCCTCTTCCTGCAACCACTAGACTTGCTTTTACTACTTTATTCCTTCATTCTTGACTCTCGTAATGGTCTTCTTAAATGGTCTTCACAATCTATTTTGCACACTGTTACTCAAATAATTATCCCAATCATTCCACTTCCCTACTTAGAAATAGTGACTGGCTTTCCTTGTGGCTAACAGGACCACTCCAAACTGGATCTCACACTTAAGTTGTGTGCTAACTTCTATGTTTTATTGCTTTTTTGAATCCTATTTTTCATTACACTTGTGACAGGGATTGCCAGCTGTCCATCAAGTATGTTATCTTCTTCTACCTGGGTTCTTAGCTAGATTATACGTCCCAGTTCCTATCGGTACATCTGATCATGTGACATTAATAAAAGTGAGCAGAAGTGAGATGTACCGCCTCCAGATAAGTAGCTAGAAGACAGTAATCTGCCTTCCCCATGCTCTCTTTTCCTTTCTGCCAGTTGCAGTCTGGATGTGGTTGCCCAGCTGTACCCATGCAAATAATGACAAGGTCCTAGGGGTCAGAAGGGATACAAAGTGGAAGCAGCCTGGGTCTCCAACTCGGCATGAGGAAGTGAACTGTCCAAACTGTTGACAACTTTCATAGATTATTATGCTGTCTAGATTGCTATGTGAATGACAAATACATTTCTTTTTAAGTCTCAGAATTTTGGGGGTCTGCTTCTCACAGCAGCTTAGCCGACTCTTAACATAATAAAGTTATTGTGTTACTTTATACAAGTCTTTTGCTCTACTGGTGTTTGCTGTCAGAAGCAAATACTTTGCAGAAAGAAAACATCTAGAGTTTTTCATACTATTGGCATTTGGGGTAAGAGAATTCTCTGTTCTGCAGTACTACCCCTCTCATTGCAGGGCATTTAATATTTATCATCCAAGACCCATTCAATTAGGTCCCCATAAACATTTCCATCTATTCCCTGGGTGAGTGGGGTCCTGAGTCAGGCTAAGGACCATGTGGCTATAGAGATCCTTGTACCTTCAGCTCATGTTGTGCCTTTTTGCTTCCTTTGTTCATGACATTTGTTTTACTTAATAAAATTTTACTTAATAATTAATTAAAATGGGCAACCCCCTGGGGTCCCCTCCCACTGTGGGAGCTTTGCTGTACTCTCAATAAATTCTGCTTTCTCAAAAAAAAAAATAATTAAAGTTTTTTCTTTGCTGTAACTTTTTTTGCTTTCGTTACATTTCACTTTATATAATACCTAGGGTGACTCATGGTCTCTACATCACAGTTTTTACAGAGGAAGCTACTTGGAAGGGTTTCTTTACAGTATGAAGCATAGATGTATAAAATTGGTATTATTTAAATGGGTAGGTACACTTGTCCTTATCAGAACTGAGCAGACTTGGTATATTTGCCATCCAGAACAACAGGTCAGAAAACTAAAGGAGGGCTTTCTTCTATGGTAAAAATATTGCTATAGTATGAATGGATGTATACTCCTAAAATTAAAGTGTTGGAACTTATTGCCCAATGTGATCATTTAAAAGGTGGAGCCTTGTGGAGGCAATTAAGTCTAGGGCTCTGCCCTCATAAATGTGATGAATGCTGCCTTGTCCTTTTTGCCATGTGAGGATGCAGCATGAAAGTGTCATTCTGGAAGCAGACAGTGAGCCCTCATCAGGTACCAAACCTGCTGGTGCGCTGACTTGGACTTCTCAGACTCCAGACTATGAGACATAAATTTCTACTTATTTATAAATTACCCAGTCTGAGGTATTTTGTTACAGCAGCCTAAATGGACTCCGACAGCTACACCAGGTAATTTGAATTAATACTGTGGTTGAGAACTAGCAAATGTGGGGGGAAATTTACCTGAAGGCATGAGAGGGCTAACAACATAATCCAGAATGATGAAACCATGATGTAGGGTGGGAAGGGAACCCAGAGACAGAGGCCTGGTATTTGAAGACAGTTTTTCTTCCTTTAGGGTTGTCTGCTGATTTCGGAAAAGGTGGCTAAGGAGCTGAGAAGTAACTGATAGCCTCACTGAGCTAGCAAAGAAAAAAATATGGTTTGGGGACTGTTGTGGGGTAAAGTGGCCTTGTAAAAACTCCATGCTTTAATGAGGACTCTGAAGGGCTATACCCTAAGAGTTGGGGAAAATTGGAAATAGAACAGCATTCTAAGGGACTAGAGCCCAGCTTTAAACGATCTCAATCCCTGAAACCAGGTTTTCCTGCTAGGAAAAAACAAACCAAAAAAACCCCATGAAATTCTCTGGAGGAAAATAATATCATCTGGAAGCTTAAATTATCTCTACATCTTTTCATATACTATGTCTAGCACACAGTCAAAAATAATTGAAAATAAAGAGAGATTTTTTTTAAAAAGGTACCATGACTAGATACCAAAAATAAAAATAGACTCATAAGTGATCCAGATCATGGAATTATGAGATACACATTTTAAAGGACTATTTTTAATAGATTAAGAAAAGACCAATCAAGTATTTCTACAAAAATTTACAAACTATAAAAAGAACCAAATAGATTTTATAAATTAAAAATACAATAATTAAAATTAACACACAGATAAATTTAATAGTATAGTAGACAAAGTTGAAAACTAAAATAGTGAGTTGGAAGAAAAGCTAGATAAAAGATCCAGTTCAAAACAAAGAAAGGCAAAAGGACTGAAAATTCCAAAAAGAAAGTAAGAGACATAGGGAAAACAGCACAATGGCATAATATATAGTCAGAATACCCAAAAGACAAATGAGAAAAAAATGGATCATATGCTTTGAAGACATACTGACTAAGAATTTTCATAAGTAGAAAAAGGACATCAAACCCTAGATTCAAGGCATCCCATAAACCTAAAGTTAAATAAATTTTAGAAAAATGATCACCACCTAGTTACATCATGGGAAAAACCACTAAAACCAATAAACAGAAAATCTTAAAAGCAGCTAGCTTTTAAATTTGAAAGTTGACTTCTCAGTTGAAACAATGAAAGCCAGAAGAAAATGGGGTGATATTTTCAATGTACCAAAAGAAAATAACTCTAACCAAGAATTCTATGCCTAATAGCAACAAAAAAATTTTAAAATGAAGATAAAATGAAGACATTTCCAGATCAAAACAATATGATATAAAACAAATTCCAAACAAGAGAATTTGTTGCCAGCAGATCTGCATAATAAACAAACACTATTAGACAAAAGAAATGATCACAGATAGAATACTGCAGATAACGGAACGAAGAGCAACAAAATGAATAAATATGAGGGCATATCTAAGTGAATAATGACTCTGTAAATAATGTTTTATGCAGTTAAAATATACGATAATAATAGCACAAAAGATGGGAGAGGGTTAAATGAAGATAGAGAATTTAAAAAATCTTGAACTGTCCTGGAAAAGGTAAAAATTCTAACTTGTAATAAAGGTTGGTAAGTGTGCATTCTGTACTTTTTTTTCTCTTTTTTTGTGAGTTGGAATCTTACTGTGTCACCCAGACTGGAGTGCAGTGGCTGCTCCCGGCCACCGTAGCCTCGACCTGCTGGGCTCCGGCGATCCTTCCGCCTCAGCCTTCCAAGTAGCTGGAACTACAGGCACGCGCTACCACGCCTGGTTAATTTTTGATTTATTGCAGAGATGAGGTCTCGCCAAGTTGCCCAGGTGGGTCTCGAACCCACGGGCTCAGGCAATCCACTCACCTCAGCCTCCCAAAGGAGCGGGATTACAGGCTGAGCCACAGAGCCTGGCTGCATTCTGTACTTTCTAAGGTAACCATGAAATAGTAAAAGAGCCTATAACTACCGAGTAATAGGAGGGGGAAATTAAAATAATAAAAAATATTTAATCAATACAAAAGAAGGTAAGAAAGAAGAGAAAAAGGAAAGACTGGGTTGAACAAAATGAAAACCAATAGTAAGATGGTAGATTTAAACCCAACTTCATCAATTACATTAAATGTAAATAAACTAAATACTACAATTAAAACACAAAGATTATCAGACTGCATTAAAGAAAAAAATGACATGCAGCTTACAAGAGGTCTACTAAAGAAAGTCTGAAAGTA